GCCCTCCCTAGGGTTAGGGAGAGTCTCATCTGAATCCTCTGCATACTCAACAAGTTTGGGTGGTCATGGACAGTGTTACCCTTTCCAGCAACCACTCCTTGGGTTAAGAAGGGTATCATGTCTTACTTATTGAGCCTGGGTGGTCACATACTCTTCACACCCTGTTTCAGGGTAATGGAACTCTGACCCTCCCATAACCAGGTGACTCTCCCGGTTACTCTATGACATAGGCTACACAACACACGCAAGGTCAAGTTCAACTCCTTCCTTATTTAATTTCACTAAGAAACAAATTAACAATGAAACGATCAATTCCCAGTGCTCAGCTAAACCCACCTCCTCATCTTATGGCAACATAAACCCAATCTCCCTTTGCCAGGACAGCTGAACTCTGGAATCTGCGTCCCCCTCTTAATGACTTCCAGCTGTCCATCTCTCCTTCTAAGCCTCCTGTTGCTGGCGGGTGCTATGGGGTGGGGAAAACTTCATCTCCATGTCCAGAACACTGATAACCACCTTCTTTCTCTGTGCTTTTTTTCTGCTGACGCACCCTAATTTATATTAGTGGCTTGTGTTTTTCATTGCCTTGAAGGGTGCAGTACCAAGGACTGTGACCTCATTTAAGAGACAATGAAAAACCACGCCTTCCTGATGGCAAAGGTAAGTGGAAGACTGTAACTGGAAGGGCATGTTACAGACTTCTTCCTCATCACAACGTACGTTGGGGAATGCAACCTGTTGATTGATGTTTACACACCCAGTCTATACACATGGCAGTGTGTACTAGAGAAGTTTGCAGTAAACCAGAGCAACTTTCCCTATGAAGCCATGTCCTAGTAATTTTGATAAATTTTAGGAAGCTGCTTGGTTTTTCTCTCTTGTCTTTTGGGGAGTAGATCAGACCTCTGTTGTATTCTTCTCTGATTGTGGGAAGAAATGGCACTTGCTTGCCACTGAGTGAAAAGTGAGTCACACTAATGGTGAAACTCCAGGTCCCTGCATCGGTGAATTTAGGGCTGCCATGCTGACCTTTTTCAGCTCTGCTTTTTTAAACTGTGCTAATTCAATTGAACATAAGGGTAGGAATGAAGTCTGAAGTGGTATCCTTTATAACATGCAACTGAAAACAAAAAAGGTGTCATTTTGGTCGAGTATTTTTTTCACCATTTTTTTTCCATTTGAATGGTCTGCCTGTTCTCTTGGTTATGACAGGTGATCCAATATGAGATACTACTTCTCCTTACAGACCCTGGCACTTCTACATCCCCAAACTATTCTTCCTATAACTATAATCACATCATTTTTTATAGCTGTCACAGAAGTGAAAATGTCCCCTGCAGCCCTGAATGCATACCTAAGCAAAAAACTCCAAACCAAATCTATATCACAAAACATCCAGAAACTTTTTCACGTATGTTTTGAATTCATTGTTCAAACAAGATCTAACACATTTCTGAGGTTATAATATGTTCTTGAGATGCGCATAAATTACTAAAATAATGAGGACATTGCCACAACGTGCTAGAAATATTTTCAGCAATTTTGACTTGTTTTTTTCCTTGATGCTGTTTTCTACCAAACTATCAGTGATGAACATGAACAGTCAGTATAAATATTCTTTGAGATATGCAAATTCACTAGTATATAATTTTAACACTTCTAATTAAAATCAGACTAATAAGGACATCTTTTGTTTAAAGGAAAATGAGAATGGTATATCATGTACTTACATTTCTTGACTTCTAATAATGCAGTACTGGGGGTTACCACAATGGACAGAGTAGCTTTTTATTTCCCATTTTGAACATGATTCAATGAAAAATGTGGAATTTCCCAACTGCAAAATAAAAGCCAAATCAAAAATATCTATGCCTCTGCCTTCAAGGCAAATTTGGGAGCTTTTCCCTTTGAGTAACTTTCCCAAGCACTGTAAGTGACAAAAGCCATATCAACTAGATTTGAATTGCACAGTATATTTCTAGTAGACCTCTTACAACTGGAAAAGCCACAAAAAAATTTCATGCTTACTCAACAGTTACGTATTAGGAAAATTTCTTGTGCTGACCCAATTCAAACTGAATGTAGTTTTATTTGAAAAAAAAAAAAAAAGTGAAATCCAAAAGGAAATATTTAGGCTTGAAAGAATTCTGCCTAGCAGTCTCATGCATTTGATAGCTGTAAATGCAGGTGTTCCAAAATACAAAGATTTGGGAGAAGGGTAATGAACAGAATACTCTGATACAAGGCAAGGTTTCTCAAATCACCAGAACTTGCTAACTGCACACTTTAAGTTTTCTAAAATATTCTAAGAATTATCATGAATACCGTTTGGGTTAATAATTAGAAAGTTTTTCTAGAGAATCAACTTATGAAATGGCAGAAAAACAAATACAAAGGTGATTAAACCATATATAAAAAAGTCCTTAAAATAATTATCTTGCAATGGGAAAGTGTTAGTTGTGTGTTTATTGTTGTAACACATTGTGTGTACACAAAAAGCATATGCACAAATTTCTCTCCTAAGGTTCTAAAGCTGTAGGGAATTGTGGACTTCTGTTTTGTGTTGTGTCAAGCCATGAACCTAGTCCCCGTTTTTTAAGTAAGTTAGCTTCTTGTTGCCCAGGTGTAATACAGAACAAACGGTCAAGGGGACAATGATAAAAATATCAGGAAACAGAGACCAGAGAAGATGGTTATTAAAAGGCATGGATGTGGAGAAAGTGAAGGCTACATAGAATTACAGTGACTGGGTAACTTATGGTGAAAGAGAATTAGAAAACCCTAAAAGCAAACAAATTTTAAAATATAAACATGTTAAAATTATGACATGATAGTGGTTATTATGGTCAAATGCATGTGTAATAACACACAAAAAGAACTGAAAGTATAAGATCACAAATATGAGATGACAAAATACACAATGACTATAAAAGTTATAATAAAAATTATAAAGGATGTTCTAAGGAGAGACATAGTATTGATCCATTAATTGTTGAATCTCCTTATTTTTCCATATAACTGGAAGAAAACACTCAATGCAGTCTCCCAGTTTGAAGTTTACATTTGTAATTGTACATGTAATAATTGCAGTAATAGTAAAAACTCTTATAAAAACATGCTAAAAAAGATAATTTGGGCTCGAGTAGTGTAGGTACTTTCCTCTTCTGAGAAGGGACCCTAGAGATCAATGTGCAGCAGAAATCAAAGTCGACAGGCAAAGCTATCCCCAAGGAGACAGGAATCTTTCTCCCAGAGCCACAGGTGGAAGAATTGGGTATTTTAACATATATTATAATTCACACAAAGCATAAACTTCCTTTGCTTTTCTGCAAGCCCACAATACCAAGAATTTTGTTTCTTGTTACAGTGGTACATTCGGGGCAACTTTTCCACAAATTGTACAAAAGTTACAAAGGAGGGGGAAAGAAATTATAATTCTTTATAAAAACAGGTGTGATATTCCTGTAGTAAGATAATGATATTGGTGAAATGAAATTAAATTGGTGCTTCTTTCAAGGCTAAAATATATTCCGACCCCATGTTTCAACATTTTTCCATTTTGTTTGGGGGAAACTCTGCTTTTTATGAGTACTTTGCTTCCCATGTGGGCTACAGGAAACAAGCAAGGATTTGTTTTGGCAATGCTATTTAACTTTTTATTGAAAAACCAGGTATTCTGCATATCTGAATCTTAAAACCAATACATTTATATAACTGCACCAGCCCACATATTTCACTTACTTGTAATGGTTAGATCTTCCAAGCCTTAGTTTTCAGTTGGAGGCTCTGAAATCCAACTCTGGGAGTGATAATTCTGAATAACTTTCCTGTCTGAGAAGGTACGCTCATGCATCCTAAATTGCTATCAAGACCTGCTCTAAAAGCAGGTTTCTGACTTTGTCTTGCAAATGTTATTACTTAATTCACAGAAAAGGGAAAAAAAAAACCCACACAAACAAAAACGAAAAGGCAAGATGCATCTCACTGAGCTATGCTGAAGCCTCAGCACTTCACAGCAGAAAAATCCCATTACCTCAGCAATGTCTCTAAGTATCTGAAGGGAGGGTGTCCTCCTGGTGCTGAGCAATAGGACAAAAAGCAGAAACTGGTGGACGAGAAGTTTCATCTGAACGTGAGGAAGAACTACTTTACTGTGAGAGTGACCGTGCACTGGAACAGATTGCCCAGAGATGTTGTGGAGACTCCCTCACTGTAGATACTCAAAAACTATGCGGATACAATCCTGTGCCGTGTGCTCTGGGACGACCCTGCCTGAGTACGGGCTGGGACCAGGTGACCCACTGCGGTCCCTTCCAACCTGACCCCTTCTGCCATTCTGCGGAACGCTTCATAGGGAAATACCTAGTATCTCAACAGGGACGCGACACAGGTGCTCCTACAGCTCAAGAAGGGCAGGAATCCTGGGGATTCCTAGGCATGTTCAACATCCCTCTCTCAGCACCCTGGCTAGACAGTAGCTGCTCCTATAGAGACCGTGAGGAAAAAAGGCTGGACTCGCCCACCAGGGCGGGTGTGGGCTCACGCAGCCCACCCCTCTGAGCTCCTCGCCCGCTGACCGGCTCCCGCTCCCGCGCTCCCATCCCCTCTCCCGCTCCCCCATCCCCAGGATCACCGCCCCGGCACGGCGCACGCGCAACCGCGGCTCGGGCGGGCGAATTCAAACGCGCCCCTCGCCCCTTCTTCTCGCCGGGGCAGCGCTGACGTCATTGCACCGCGTCCTCCCCTGCCCTGCGGTTTCCGGCGCCCGCCCGCGCCGGGGGTGCTGCGGAGCGGGGCAAAGTTTCCATCCGTGCGGTTCGCGGCGCGCTGCTCTGCCCTCCCTCCCGGGCTGCGGGAGCCTGCTCCGCCTGGCGCCGACCCTCCCGTGTCCCTGCTGTTCCTGCGGGAGCAGCGACCAGGGGCTCTCGGCGATGGCTTCGCGGGGCGCGGAGGCGGCGGCGCGGCAGGTGGCGGAGCTGGAGCAGGAGCTGCGGGGCCTGGCGGAGGAGCTGAGCTGCTGCCAGGTACCGGGGCGCGGGGCCGCCGCAGCCGGGCTGCCGAATCCCCAGGCGCTACCGCATCCCCGGGCGCTGCGGGGTCGCGTCCCGCTCCCGGGGGTGCCCAAAGGCAGGGACGGGGGGCAGGGCCCCGGGCAGTCCGGGAGGGGAATTAAACCGGTCCGGGCCCTTGTCCTGGCTGGAACGAGCTCTTCTGAGAGCTTTCTCGTTCGTCCCCAAAAGCCACGGTTTGCTTGAACTGTAGTAACAGCAGTCCCGATATGCTGCCGTAATGCAACTCCGGGGAAAAATGAACAGTCAGAGGGGTTTCAGAGAAATGTAGGTCTTGAAGGAACCTCTGGAGGTCATTTAATCTCTCGCCCAACCTTGCAGCGGGTTTAAGTATCCCTGAGCCGTTTCTGGGGAGAGAGGGCTTAGTGACTAATTATGGGTGTACTTTGAAAAGTTCCCCCGTGTGTCTCTCCTTGAGACCTCCTTTCATAGGTGCACTGCCCTCATTTTTCTAATTGTTCATCGCTGACATTTAGGAATATTTCCTGAAAATATAAAAGTGCTGGTAATACGAAATGAGTGAAAATTCTCTGCCAAACACGCGGGTTACACAAGAAGTATGCAGCAGAGAGGAAGGTGACATTAAATGCTGCAGATGCTTTTCCACTTGACGGAAGCCAAAACAGTATTTTCATGTGGCATGTGGTCTGGTTAAAGCCACAAAGGCCTGGGCTGACATGGTCATCAGAAGAAAGCATCCACCTTGGAGTTACTCGAAGTTCCCTACTCCAAGCAGCTTTAGTACACCTGACAACTGGCACGAGTTCCTGCTGAGGGCAGAAATCAGAGTTCTTGAAAGAAAAAAGAGAGCTGTCACTGAAAATCCTGTTTGGAAATGCTGAACAATGCTGAGTGATTTGGGGGTATCTTCAGTGTCTTGTGGGAGAAGTTCAGAAAACTCTTTATAAAGATTTATATTCTTAGTATGCAGATGTACACTATCAGACAAAATTTGATGGAAGCAGAAGGAAGGCCTGGTGCTCTGCTCATTTGGTAGTTGAACATAAATTATATATTACTAAAACATAGTAGGATGTAATATTTTTAAAGAGCATTAAAAATAATTGAAACTTGGAAGTAAACAGTACAAATATGAATTTCTGATCGCTTTGATAGTCTATTTTAATATACACAAACTGTAGTTAAGCATCTGATTTCCCCTTTAGATCCATTCAGTTATGTGCGCATTTCTGTGTGTCTCTTGTTGAACACATTCCAGTCTTCTTAAAGTCGGAAAACAGAAAATATTTTTAAATGTATTTATTTTAAGTCTCTTACATATTATCTTGCCATTCTTGTATCTTTGTCTTTTACCAGATCAGATAGTTTTCTGGGAGGGAAGCAAGCAAAAAAGAATAGGAAATAGTAGAAAATAGAAGCCAGTCAATGTTCTGCAATAATCTCTCCAGTGCTAGGTAGAATCCAATATATACCATCTTTCTAATGACAGGGGATGCATGTCTTCAGGATTTATTTGAGGTTATTCATAAAAAGGAAAGTGAGGTAGTAATCTATAAGCAGGGTTTCTCTGAAAACACTGCAGTGTAGACATCTTTACTGTTTTACTAATCCATCAATAAATTTAGACAGGTTTAAGCATGTGTATGTTATGTAAAGAACAGGGAAGCCAGATTTTAATAAGTAAAAGAGGTGATAATCTAGTAAATTATGCAGCTTTTTCAATGTATAAGGTAACTAACTTTCTTTTTAAAAAGTTTTGCAAAGATTTAATTAATTTAAAGGGGAACTAAAATAGGCTTCAGTAAGATTCTTCAACTGATTTGAAAGTCAGCTGCTAAAATTATTTGGGGTTGGTTAATCCATTTTAAAGTCATAATTTGTGAAAACTTTGTGCAAAGACAGGCTGTTTGAAAACATAAATACATATGGGTAATGTCAATGTTGTGTTTTTCTAGTTTCTTCACAGTTGTGCTACAAAGTTTTTGCTGGCCATCTAATTCCATTTGTGGAATTTTGTTTGATCTGCTGTGATCTACTTAGTTTCATATAGATCTAAGAACTTCTTTGGTTCTTGTGAAGTCTTTGAAAATTTGTCGGTCTCTTTAGTCAGAGCTGTGAAACCATTTATGTTGGAAGGAACATCTGGAGAGAATGTATTGCACTGCAACCTAGAGCAGATTGCTCAGGATGGTGTCCAGTTAGGTTCTGAGTGTTCCCATGGCTAGAAACTGCAACCTCTGAGGACAACCTGTGGTGGTGTGTGAAGACCCTCACATAAAGGTGTTTCAGCATCTAGTGAGATTTTGCTTGTCCTATGTTCCATGCTATTGGGTAAGGCTATACCTTCTCTAGACTGCCTTAGCAGGCATTTTGGATAGAAATGTTATGTGTCTTTATAAAAGATGTTAGTGAGAGGGTGTTAACTTTTAGTCCAGCAGCTGGACAAAATTGTCTGGGATTTTTCTTGCATTTTTTAGTCTTTTTCTGTCTGAGTAATTCACAGACATATAAACTGTACTTCCGAAAAAACCCTTCCCAGCTGAAATCTAGTTTAGTAGTTTAACAGTGTACCAGAACAAAACGATTAGTCTTAGGTATTTGTTTAGGTATTAGCCTCTTGGATATTTTTTTCTAAAGAAAAAAAGACATCAAGTGATTGATGCTAAAAGGTTTAATTCATTCTAGGAAACTCTAGTCAAAAAGTATTAGAAAAGAGATATATGCACCCAACAGTTATTTAGCATCTGAATAAATACACACATTCTTGGACCATTGTATTCACTGTAATATAAACTGCAGTTCTGAAACAAAGTCTTTTCGGGGAACTGCAGCCCATTGATGCTATGGGGTCCATTGGCTGAATATTTGGGAGCCTTTTATGACTAATGCAGCTCCTGAGTCTGGTGGGAATATTGTGCATTCTAGCTTTGCTCTAACCACTACTTCTGGATGTTATCTCTGTTCTGTGGCAGAATCCTGGAGTACCTGACCCTTTTACTCATCTGGAATGGTACCCTTTCTGTTCAAAACAAGATTCTTATTCACATTTATTCTGTTTTTTATAGTAACACTTCCCACGAAGTGAAGGTTTCTACAGAGTCAAATATGGTATCTTTGACTGCCTTTTTTTTTTTTTTCCCTTTCATTCTTTTCAAAAGCTGAGGTTCTGCTGGTAAGTCTTGACTTCTACAGCTTAGATTTGGAATTTTTGATATTTTCTTTAGTATTCCTCAAAACATTGTGGGAGGTTGAATCATAAGAAGCAAGATCTTGGAGAACGACATGTTAAAATCACAACAGTTTTGTTGCATTCAGTCCATGAAAACTCGTGTTGACTTGCAGTTCTGTGATAGAATTTGTGAAAATGAGAAAGCCAAGTTCCCAAATTGTCTGCTGAGGAGCCTTGTATAAAGCTGAAGAGGTATGCCTCTACAGTATGCTGTTTTGGGAAAGTTATGTTTGTGTCTGCAATAAAGCACCGTATCATTATTTTGATGGTAATTTTTAATTTCAGTGTTCCTCTTCTTATTATTTTACTTGAGAAATTAAGTCTCTGTTCCTGAAAACAACTGAAAACATGAAATTGTTTTTTATTTTTAAATTTCTTGTTTCCATTGGGACCTTGTTACATTTCTGTGAAGGACTTGATATTGTTGGGAGGCAGTGGAAAGGCAAAGATTAAATAGTAAGATGTGACACATCTTTTTTCTATTGTTTGTGTTAACTGCTGCATTTCATTTCAGGGTTTTATGCTGCTGCCTATGACCATAAAATTTCAAGATCGTTCCATGGAAGATCTTCAATACCTGTGTTCCTATTACTCCCAGGAGATTTTGTTTCTACTTGGTGTTTAAAAGATCTGGCTTATGTTTTAACCACATTGTTTTTGCAAAGCATAGTGGCTCCGCGTGAAGGAAATTAGAGTAATTTGGTTGGAGTGTGTGGGTTTTTTTGTTTGTTTGTGTTTTTCTGGGTTTGCTTTTTGGGGTTTTTTTGATAAGGGGAATGATACGTGAATGGAGTTTCTGAGCCAGCAGTACATTTTTAGCTTTCATATGCTTTAATCTTGTGTATTTCTTTAAACCACCTGTTTTCTCTGTATTGATTCACAGCATATTCCTCGTTGGTTTCCAGCAGTGGAGTTTGTTTGTTTGTTTGTTTTTTGTGTTTTTTTTTCCTTTTTTTTTCTTTTTTTTTTTCTTATTTGATGTAAAATAATGTTCATTCCTCAAGCAGAAGATACATATTTGGTGTCCTAGCTCTCTGTCCCTTGCGAAGGTTCAGACTCTTTCATGCCCCACTATTCTGTAGCTAAAAAGATAGGGGTGGTTCTTTCAAGTATTCTGTGATGGGAAACGTTATCAAGTCCTAGCTTTGGACAAGACAGTGTGATTCGAGACTGGGTTTTCCACAAACAGCAGAGTGTTCTGTATTACTGGTAAAACAGAAAGTTGGAAAAGCAAATACTTTACTTATGCTCTTGGTGATGTTCACAAGAGGGCTTTGGTTTGTTTAGCTTTATTTCATATTTTTCAGCCTAGGATCTCTTTATTTGTTGAAAATACTGTTTTGAGTTCAAACAAGTGTCTTAATTTTTCCATTATTAGTTTTAAAAAATCCCTACTATCAGCCTTCACTATATTCATTGCATTTTGCTTTCAAAGGTAAGGTGGCATTTCTTGCTGCTGAAAGAATGCTGTGTTTTCATAACTGAGGAATTCCTTTCTAAAGCTATGGTTCTGCAAAAACTGAAGTGCTTATAATGCCTACTTCTTTTCTGTGTTAGAAATTTAGTAAACCGTTGCATGGTACTCTACACAGTTTATAGTTGTGGCCCAAAAGGTACAATCTGTCAGCTTCCAGTGGTCTGCAGACCATATTGTTTAGTCAGAGAAACCATTCTGCCTGGTATGGTTTTCATTTTACAAAGGCAGTTTGTACATTAAAAGATAGATAGTTCTCCAGTAGTAAAAAAAGTTTGGAACTGATCACTA